TTGATCCTCAGCAACACACACACACACACACAAGAGGAAGGAATAGTTGTCATCTGAAGCCCTTGAATTTCTCCCACCTTATCTGATATCCACAGTGTGAATCAGCTAGGCAGCCCTGGAGGCCCTGAATTGCAGATGGGGACCTTGAGGTGAAGTGGCATTGATGACTCCCATGTAAGGCCACTGCCTGCTAAATGCTTCCTGGCCTATTCACACAGGTCCAGGCTCTCAGAATCCAGGATGTTGGGATTTTCGTAACCTTTAGTTGTATCTGATAACTTCACAGACAGAGAAGTGGGAGCACAACCAAAAAAGTATGGAAACCTTAACAGGCTGGGAAGATAATGATGACATTCATTCTCCATTATGGGCAGAATTCATGGTGATTCCCTTTCTCGTAAAATCACGTGCTCAATCTCTAAATGCCAGACCCACAGAATTCAACTATATCTGAAGATAGGGTCCTTAAAGAGGTAAGTTAAAATGAGGTCACCAGGGCAGGCCCTCATCCATCATGGCTTATAAAAGAACTTTGTTAACACAATTCAGCAAACACACCCTTAAACTATATGCACCTGAAAAGTACTTTCTGTGCTTTTACTTGTAGCATCTGTAAAGGAAAAACTCAGTGATTCAGCACCAACCTCTTTAGAAAGGCATCTATGTGGTCAAGAATTTGTGATTTGGAAGTACCTTTGTCCAGATGTTGGGTTTGCTTTACAAAGGAATGAATTTTGATCTGTGAGAGTAAAGAGCTTGTTGACAGAGATTAATCTGCATGGTGTTACAGTTCTGAATGATGCAGAGATATTTGATCTCCTACATCTATGAGGTTAAAAACTTGACAGCTTGTTCTCCTAAGAGGACCCATGTGTGCAGAAAGAATTTTAGGATTTTCAGCTCAGGTGTGAATCGAGGTCTGTATCTCCCTCTGTCTTTCTATGGAGGGGATCTACACTAGAGGTGAGGCAGGGCTAAAATCCAGAGGGAAGTTCTGTCACTGTAGATGCTTAGGGGACAGGCCCATCTTGGATGCCAAATGAAACAATGGGTAGTGTTTTCAAATGCAGTACCTAGAGACACACATCAGCCTTGCCTGGCAATGAACCTTCTGCTCTCCATTGATCCAATCTGTGCCCTCACAGACCTCAACCCAATAACCTCATCAACTGTGTTTGTGGGGAATTGTCACTTTGAGAATCAACTGAGATCATATATGTAAGAACCAAATACATTCAGTGAAATAAATTCTAAAGAACTACACAAATGTTTAAGTGACCATTAACAGTGTTGAACTAGATAAAAGAGCATTATCAAGCGAGTTCTCATACTATGACCTGCATACTTTTCTGCATGTGCTACCCTTGAATTAAAATGTTGACTGAAATGAAAGAGTTATAATTGTCTTTGCTATGAACTCGGATAACATACAAACTGGGATAGTTGCTTTACTTGTTTGGGTTTTCAAACAAAACATATTGAAGCCAGGCATAGTGGTGCACACTGTTAATCCCAGCACTCAGGAGGCAGAGGTGAGATTAAGGCCAGTCTGATCAACATAGAGACTTCCAGGCCAGCCTTGGCTACAGGGAGATCCTGCCTCAAAAAACAAAACAAAAAAACAACCAACAAACCAAACAAAAAAACATGTTAAGGGGCTGAAGATATGGCTCAGTTGGTAGCTGGTAAAGTGCTTTCTGTGCAAGCCCCTGAGATTGGATCCTCCACCCCCAGAACCCATGTTCTGTTGTATGCCTGTAATTCTAGCACTGGGAAGCAGGGACAGGAGGATCCTGGGAGCTTTCTGGCCAACCAGTCTCACCAAATTAGTGAGCTTCAGGTTCAGTGAGGGACACTGTCTCAAAAAAAAAAAAGAAAAGAAAAAAAAAAATCACACAGAGAGATCAAAGAAGACACTGAAGGTCAACCTTAGGCCTTCATAAAAGGAAGGAAGGAAGGAAGGAGGGAGGGAGGGAGGGAAGAATGGAGTCTGTTGAACTGTATTATTTTACGTGATATAGATCTATCTAAAATTTGATAACCATTCATTACTTTTTTTTTTTTTTTTTTTAAAGATGGGAGGAATTAAACTCAGGGCCTTAGATATGCTAGGCAAGTACTTTGCTACTGAGCTACATTCCTAGTCCATAATAATCTATGTTTAAAAACAGAGATTTTGGGGGCCGGAAAGATGGCTCAGTGGTTAAGAGTACTAGCTGTTCTTGCAGAAGACGCAGGTTTGATTCCCAGCACCCACATGGCAGGCTGACAACCATCCATAACTCCAGTTACAGGGGACTGGACACCGGTGTCTGAGGACACCGCACGACACAGGTGCACTCGCATACATGCAGACATAACACTCATACACATAAAATAGAAATAAATTTAAAAAAATTTTTAAAAAACAGAGATTTTGAAGCCGGGCGTTGTGGTGCACGCCTTTAATCCCAGCACTTGGGAGGCTGAGGCAGGTGGATCACTGTGAGTTCAAGGCCAGCTGGGACTACAGGGAAACCCTG